AAAGAGATCTAAACCCCCTCCTAACCCCCGGCTAACCCCCGCTAACCCCCCGCTAACCCGCTAACCCCTAACCCCCGCTAACCCCCGCTAACCCCCGCTAACCCCGCTACCCCCGCTAACCCCGCTAACCCCGCTAACCCCGCTAACCCCCGCTAACCCCGCTATCCCCGCTAACCCCGCTAACCCCCGCTAACCCCGCTAACCCCCCTAAGTCGTTCAAACTAGGTGATGAATCAGCACAGATATACGAAAAACGATCTTGAAAAGGAGAGGTCATTGCTAAGATTAAGCAAGATGTATAGTCAAGAAGGGAGCAGGGGGGGAGAGATGTAGTTGACCAAAGGAAGGGGAGAAGACGTACCTCCCACTGAATCCATCCAAAGTCGTTGACACTTTTCGAGTCAATGTAACTGATTTCATCTACCAGATCTCGGCAATCATCTCCAAGCTATCATACAAGTCAGCTTTGACCACCACAGAAAGATGAGAGGCTGACTTCAATGACCATAGTCCCGAGTTTGTGACTCTCCGCATCTACTCTCCCTCGCGCCATCAACGCCGAGCCTAGCTCCCATACTCTACTCGAATCAGTCTCGACACACACAGGGAAGAGAAGCAAACTCACCTTACATACTCCATAGGCGCCACGCTCTCCTCCCCCACCAGTCTCACGCTATCAAAGATATCTCTCGCCCTCTGTACCTCCTTCGTCAACACCCTCGCTGCTTCCCCTACATCAACCTCATCTTTCGGTGTTGTGGAAGAGAACCATAACCAGAATGGTCGAGCTTGTTGTGCGGATAGCTGGCGAGATGACTGAGAGTCGGTAGAGGACGAGGAATAAGGGGATGAAGTGGTGAAGAGGGAATGACGGCAGAATAGACCGGTGAGGGCGCATGTCGGAGTAGCTAGTGTTGCCAAAGGTAGCCCGACAAGCTCTCCTGATATCCGCAGCTCTCCATCTCTCCCCATCACACCCCCCATCATGCCCCTCAAAAGCCTCCACAAAAGCCCCGGCAAGAGGGGCACGACCAACACCCACGCCGTCCACGCCAACGCCGCGAGGATGAGGGCATTAACGAAATGTGCAATAAAGGGCGAGGCTACCATGTTGATTGGTACCATGAGGATGCGTATCGGCGCGAGTACGTAGCGTAGTGTTGATTCGAGAGAGGGGAGAGATGATAACAGGTTCGGGGCGGGTGGCGTTTGAATAGGGGGGGAACTTGGCGAGGGGATTGTGGGAGTGCGGAGTCGCTGCACATCGTCCAATTTCTTCCTCGGTCTGCCAGCATTGCTAGACATAGACCCCCTCTTGACGGGCGATTTCGTCTGAATAGGCTCTCGGCGAGTAGGAGTCGACTTGACAGCCCTTCGCCGAGGAGTCTTTGGTCTTGAAGGAGTGCTGACCGGTACCGAGAGCTCTGATTCGTTTTCCGACACCCATGCATCGTCGAGGGCAGGTGTGAGTGACGACTGTCTGGAGCGGGTGGGATATGGGTCGGGTGCAGTCATGGTGAGTGAAGAACGTGGAAAGAGGAGAGATGGATTGTGGAAGCTTATCTTTGGCGATGCCGTCACAGGCACGCCATATCAGAATGTTGATGTGGTGCAGTCTGCGAGTCTGCGAGGCCTATGCATATGAGAAGGGTGCATCTGCTAGTGCATGTCAGTGAACTGTATGCTGCATTCGTGCACAGGGTGACATGAGAGAAAGAGGACGAAAGAAGAGCCGAACGCAATTCTGCCTGGAATAGATCGGACGAGATCTTGCAAAGTTGTGATCTTGCGATTCCCCCTTGTCTCTTTTCTCATCGTTCTTCCATCTCCCAAATTGCTTTATCTTCGCCAGCCCCCTCTCTCTTCCTCGCTTCACCGCTCCTCGATCCCCGTCCACCTTCGCCAGCCTTCTACCTCTCGCCGCTGTGGCCGATTCCCCTGTCTATACCTATTGATCGCGTGGGAAAATCCTCCGTCAAGAGACGATCCTGGTCATTGTTCTACCATCAGCTCCTTGACCTCGCCCCACCACCCCTCATCCCTCCATTCACCTGCGCAATCCCTTCCCATCCAACAGTCCTCTCCCGCAGAGTTTGACGCGCCGAGGTACGTTGTTTACGGCCTCGACTTTGTTTACAGCCCCGACTTGGCACGGCCACCACCGCAGCAGTATGACATCGCTGATCCTTTCTTCTCGTCGCAGATGACATCCTTCATCCCCTCTTTGCCCTCCCCCGTCGCCCTCATCAACGCCACCGCCGCCATCATCGCCCCCAGCCCCATCTCAAAACCCCAATCCCCCCTCGCTCCCACGCGGGGCGCTCCACTTTCTGGCGACGCGAATCTTGTCCCCGAAAAATATCTCGACGAACAATCAATCGACACTTCTATACCTTTCGCCCAAAACACATCTTTCAACCCCCACCCCACCCGACTCGTCCACTCCCAACCACCTCCCGACGCCCCTCCTGTATTCGTGCGGAGCCCCCCCTCGACACTGCTCGACGCGCCTGCTCGAGCGGCCATGAGCCTTCCCAACCAGCAAACCGCCCATGCCCAAGCGAGGGCGGTACGGGGGTCCGACTTGAACACGCCAGAGTACGAGGTGGATGAGGATACTGCCGGGCGAAAGGGCGAGTCTGCCCCTCTCTTGGCTCCCCAGCCCGTCTATCCCGGAGGTGCCAGCCCTTCCCTCTCTCGAGCGTCTTCGACAGGATCCAACCGGGGTATCCTCCGCCGCATATTCATCGACCGCTCCAACACCCCTTCCCACCACCTCACAGCCCCCACCTTCCCCCCTCCCTTCCTCTCCACCTACTCTCCCATCTCCCCCGCCCCCCTCACCATTGGCGCCAAGCTCAACCTCATCTTCATCCAATCAGTCTCCATCGTCCTCTCCACCTTCTTCCTCACCGCCGTTGTGGCCTGGGCAATGACGGCGGAGGTATGCAAGGCGCTGCCAAAGTGGGTGTGGCCGGATAGACCGATGAAGTTTCCATGGGACGACGAAGAGTATTGGAAGAAGGAGAAGACGGTGAGCAAGGATCCGGCGTTCTACGCGAGGCAGGTGGGCATGGATATCGAGCATCAGACGGTCGAGACGGAGGACGGATACTTTCTCAAGCACGTCCTTCCCCTGCTCTATTCATTTCACACCTGACATTTCTCAGAATGCACCGAGTCATCGACCCCGACGCCCAAACCCACTCTGACGGCCGAGGTGGATTCCCCGTCCTCGTCCTCCACGGCCTCTTCCAATCCTCCGGCTCATTCGTCACCTCCGAAGACCGTTCGCTCGCTTTCTGGCTCGCAAGGGAGGGAAAGTATCAGGTGTATCTTGGAAACACGAGAGGGGTGTTTGATATGGGGCACAGGAACTTTTCGAGGAATGATCCGAGATTCTGGGGTACGTCTTTCTCTGCCTTCGGAGTGAAGAGCTGATGGAGATGCAGATTGGACGATTCGAGAGTTGGCGATGTACGATCTTCCGGCGCTCGTCGAGCACGTTTGTCGAGAGACTGGGTACGACAAGGTACTCATTTCATCTCCCTGTCCTCTGCTCTCACGAGTCAACGCTAACCGTCATCGCAGATCGGTTTTATCGGCCACTCCCAAGGCAACGGCCTCGCCTTCATCTCCCTCTCCCTCGGCATGTGTCCTTCCCTCGGCAACAAACTCTCCGTCTTCATCGCCCTCGCCCCCGCCGTCTACGCCGGTTCCCTCACTACCGGCTTCCCCTTCACCGTCCTCAACAAGGTCGAATGGCCAAAGTGGAAACGATTCTTCGGCGTGCTGGACTTTATACCGTTGATGCGGTGGGCGTATGATTATGCGCCGGCCAAGTTGTTTGCGACCCTGGGGTATATCATGTTTGCGTTCTTGTTTAGATGGACGGATACAAACTGGTGAGTGTCATGCCCTTCTCCGCTCGTCCGTATACTGATATCTACCCAGGCTGCACCGTCGAAAGACCAAAATGTTCCGCTTCACCCCCACCCCCGTCTCCTCCGCCTCCATTTTCTGGTGGTGCGGCAAAGGCGGCTTCGCCGACCGCAAATGCACCCTCGACGACTCTCTCCCCCGCTGGTTCGATGACCGTTTCCCTCCCTTATCAATCTACCACGGCGGGCGCGATTTCCTCGTCTTTGCCGATCCTCTGCTTGAGCGCTTGGAAGAGAAGGAGAAGGATGTCAAGGTGATTAAAGTGACAAAGCTGGATAAGAGCGAGCATTGTGATTTCTATTGGGCGGCAGAGGCGGTTGAGTGGGCGTATTTGAGTTTCCTTGGTACGCTCCCTTTTTGTTTCTAGGCGATCAACGCTGACGGGTGTTCAGATGATATCGAATCGACTCGTCCAAGATACCCTGATGAGGAGGATCTTCCCGCCGGCAACGACGGTACGGAGACCAGCATGAAATAGGCCCCAAGCTACTTAAACCTTTTGGTGGTCGGCGACTTCCCTTATTGCTTTCGGGTCGGGATGAGAGAATTGGTCGAAAGTCACATTTAGATTCTAGTCTGGGTCATGTACGATTATGCATGTGTTGGTTCCTCTAGTACAGGCAAAGTATCCGTGTCTGCAAGCGTGCAGAGAGTTGACCGCTTTCGTAAGGGTGATCGTCGTGGGCGGAACCAAACGGGCCTCCGATAGACGACCAGGCACGAGCCAAGATCGCTATCTTCAAGTCGCGCTGTCTTTCCCTTTGTTCACTTGTTGTTCATCAAACAGCGATGCCCAAGCTCCCCGCCTCCCCTGGCGGAACATTGCCCACAGATGACTACGAACTACAACCCTCCTCCAACGTCGACGACCCCCTCCTCCCCTCCTACGAACGCCGCACCTTTTCCTCTCCCCACCAGCAACTCCAGCGACAGAAGCAGTCTCGCCGAGCACGCTCCGTCTTTCGATGTCTCTGCATTTCCCTCGCGATACTCCTCCCTTCGCTTGCTTTCGTGACGTGCTACTTCGGCCAGACGACGCTGGATAGAGTGAGGACATGGGAGAGTCTGCCGAAAGAGGTGCAGGAGTGGCTAGATGGCGTCGCTCCTCTCAAATCTACCGCCGACAACTCCAATTTCCCCACCAAGTACGTTCCATGCCCCTCCTGTGCATCTTGCACGCTGACACGCCTTATAGTGTTGGCTACGCCGGCCCTACTCCCACCGGCAGCGAGTAAGTCGCGCCATGACCCCGTGTCCCAACGCTGACGCCTCCTCCAGAGCCGCCCTCATCGCCACCGCCCCCGTCTTCCCCACCCATACCGACGTCCATCCCCTCCTCCGTCCCACAGACAACGTTTCCAAAGGCTTCAGCGTCATACAACACTGGGGCAATCTGAGTCCATACTACTCTGTCGACAGCCACGGCTTGCCGGATTCAAATAGCTTGATACCGGAGACTTGCGAGCTGGAGAGTTTGCATTGGCTGCAGAGGCATGGCGCTAGGTATGCTCTCCTCCTTCCCCGCGACACGTCAAAGCTTACGCGGATCCTAGATACCCGACGTCAAACCCCTACGGACCTGCCGCGCTCGCTTCTCGGCTCAAGACAGCCACCGACTGGACCGCCAAAGGCGACCTCGCCTTCCTCAACAACTGGAGCTACAAGCTCGGCGCCGAGATCCTCACTCCCTTCGGCAGAAGCCAGCTCTGTGGGTACCTTTCTTGTTGCGCGGACAAGCATCTGATGGGTGGTTAAGTCAATCTCGGTGTTGCGGCGCGTGTCAAGTATGGCTTTTTGCTCGACAAATTCAACGGGCGACTGCCAGTATTTCGTACGGAAAGTCAAGAGTGAGTATCATTCTGTGCTACGTTTAGTCGTGCTCATTCTGCATAGCCGCATGTTGCGTTCTGCTCAAAACTTTGCTACCGGTTCGTCTTCCGACACCTCACTCTGCACTCGTGCTGATACTTTTCCTTTCAGGATTCTTTGGATACCCATCAGAAGAGCAGTACAACCTCGAAGTCACCATTGAATCGCCCGGCTTCAACAACACCCTCGCACCTTATTCCACCGTACGTCCATCCTTCTCTCGCTCGACCAACTACTGACACTCGCATAGTGCCGCCCAAACTACGACTTTGTCAAGAAGCTCGCCGAATGGGATGCAGTATCTCTGCCCGAGACGCGGGACAGGTTGCAGGAGAATATGGATGGTCTGGCTCTTACGTTGACGGATGTGAACGAGATGGTACGTCTCCTCCTCTCGCTGCGCGCATTACTGACTTTGGTATAGATGGAGATGTGCGCATACGAAGTAAGTCCTACCCCCTTCCCTCCTTTTCGAGCTCCAAGCTAACCAGTAGTAGACTGTCGCCCTCGGCCAATCCGCATTCTGCAACCTCTTCACCCAGCAAGAATGGAAAAACTTTCAGTACCGCAACGACCTCTACTGGTGGTACGGCTCTTCTTTCGGGTACAAACCTGCGCGAGCGATGGCCGTGGGCTGGGTTCAGGAGCTCGTATCGAGGTTGACGAAGAGTGAGTCTTTTCTTGAGGGTGTGTGCGGAGAGGTAGGACTGATGAGTGGGGGTAGCGAGGTTGACAGAGTTCAACTCTACCACCAATTCGAGTTTGCATGATGATGTACACTTCCCCCTCGATGACCCTCTGTACGTATACCTCCTGCGTTGCTATGGCCAGAGCTTACCCTACCTTGACAGCTTTGTCGACTTTACTCACGACACTCAATTCGCCCTCCGTAAGCTCCATCTTTCCACTCGTCCCGTTTCCATTGCTGACAGCCTTTCTTTAGTACTTCCGATGATGAATCTGACGACGTTTGCGGAGAGCGGGGATCTGCCAACGGATAGGATCCCGAAGCAGCGCTCTTTCGTGTCTTCAAAGTGAGCCCGTCTCTACACTTCCGAGCGTTCGAGCTGACGAAATCTAGGATCATGCCCTTTGCGACCAACCTCCAAATCCAAGTCCTCTCCTGCTCTTCCTCCTCCCCCACCTCCTCGTCATCTTCCAAAAACATCCGCCTCATCCTCAACGACGCCCCCGTCCCTCTCACCGGCATCTCTGGCTGTCCCAAAGACGACGACGGCCTATGCCCGCTCGACACTTTCGTATCGGCCATGAAGACATTGATCGGAGAAGTCGATTTCGCGACGGACTGTGCGTACAAGGGAGGGAGTAAGGAGGAGCTTGAGAAGGAGTTTAGGGAGGGAGAGTTGGTTGTTGAGGAGGGGGATAAGACGAAGGGGGGAAAGAAGGGAGATGGGAAGAAGGTAGAGGACGGGGAGGAGGATGGTGATGATAGTGACAGCGATAGCGATAGCGATGATGATTAGAACCAGTAGGAAGAGTGATAGGATGCTCATGTATAGTTGTACATACTAATGTGGCTGGAACTTGAGGCGACTGGGCTATTCTGGTGAACCCAACATTGCTCAACGTCCTCTCTCATTTACGTAAATCCGGTGTATCGGACCGTGCTTATCCGATTCGGCCTCGTTGCATAGCAAGATATATGTGGCACGCCCCTCCTTTCCCATGCCCCACCACTACGCCCAGCATGGCCCTCTCCCAAAAGCTCAAGTACGCCGTCCTCGGCGTCGGCCGCATGGGCCAGCGCCACGCCCTCAATGTCGCCTACCGCACCCCCCGCGCAGAGCTCGTCGCCATCGCAGACCCCAAGCCCGCCTCCCTCCAGTGGGCAAACGACTCCCTCTCCAGCTCTGTCGGGCGCTATACAAACTATGAGCAGTGTTTGGCGGAGAGCGGGGCGGATGCGGTGTTGATCGCGAGTGAGACCAAGTTGCATGCACCGATGACTATTGCGGCGCTGCACGCTGGCAAGGTGGTCTCTTCTTTTCCATTGCTAGACATGATACTGATGGTATGGTAGCATGTGCTGGTAGAGAAACCCATCTCTATCGACTTGCAGACTTCACGAGATGTAGTGGAAGAGACCAAAAAGTTCCCCGACCTCAAGGTCATGGTCGGCTTCAGTCGACGATGTGCGTTACCCTCTTACTCTTTCTGCCTGACTGACTTGGATACAGTCGACGAGTCGTACCGGGAGGCTTACAAGATGATCAACACTGGCAAACTCGGCAAGCCCCACCTCATCAAGTCTGCCACCAACGACCAATACGACCCCTCCGGTACTTCCCCCCTCCCCTCCATCGCACATTCTGAAACTAACACCCCTCACAAGGCTTCTTTGTATCCTACGCCGGAGCCTCAGGCGGCATCTACATCGACTGCGGCATCCACGACATCGACTGCGCCCGCTGGCTCCTCTCCACCTCCTCCTCCATCCCCAACCCGCTCAAACAAGTCACCCGCGTCTTTGCTTCCGGCCACAACATCCGCCACCCCGAGCTCGTCAAAGACAACGACGTCGACAATGCTGTGGGCTTTGTAGAGTTTGAGAATGGGGGGATCTTGATGTTGCATTTGAGCAGGACGGCGATGCATGGGCATGATTGTTTTGCGGAGGTGTTTGGGACGGATGGGAAGGTTATCATCAACGGGGTATGTCTTCTTCTTCTTCTTCTCCTTCTTCTTCTCGAGTGCTGATGATATCGTAGAACCCGCAGCTTAACAGAGTGGAGATCAGAGATGTCCACGGCGTCCGATCCGAGTCCACGTACGTCCCCCCTTCCTCACCCTCCTTCTCTCGTAAGATACCAACCAACGCATACCAGTCCCACATACTATGAGCGATTCAAAGACGCCTTCGTCCTCGAAGTCAACGAATTCACCGACGCCGTCTTGGACAACAAACGTAAGCCTCCTCTCATTCCCTTCTCTCCTCGCACCCCTCCCCTCTTTGTCGTCTCGTGAAGAAAAAAAGTCGGCTGACGATAACCCCACCCCAGCCCTCCCCGTCAACTCTCTCGACGCGCTCGAAGCCGCCAAGATCGCCACAGCCCTCACGCACTCGTTCAAATCCGGCCAGCCCGTCTACTTTTCGGATGAGGGCGAGCCCTTGTTGGTTTAACGTGTCGGGATACATATGGAGAGTTTTTGGACATTTGGAAGAAAAGAAATTTTGTGTGTGTTGATAGATGCAAATTGTGTAGCAATATACGTCGCATACCTGAACAGAGACAGGCTCACGCTCAAGACACCTGCAAAGCCAAGTACAATAATACATGCGAGCCAAATGTAGACACAAACCACCACTACTTTCTCTTGCCCTTCTTGCCAGTGGTCTTGGGCTTCATCTTGCCTCCCTCTCCACTAAACCTCAACGCCTTTCTCGCATTCAACCCACCTTCGACCCCCTCGCCACCCTTTCTAGCCTTCTTCCCCTCCCCCCTCTCAACCCTCTTCAACACATCCATCGCCGAGCTCTTCTCCCCCTCAAAGCTCTTCCCCACCGTCGGCTCAAACTTTCTCTTCATCCCCCTCGCTTTCGGCTCCCCCTCAATCTTCTCATCAAACTTGCCCATCGACGCCGTGGAAGTCTTGCTAATAAGCATCGAACGGTTGAGCTCGCTCTTGCGCACTTCTCGAGCAGACTTCTTTTGAGCTTGGCTGAGGGGCGCAGAGTTGGCGTCGGTGCCCGGGGTGGGGGCAGAGAGGTTGACGACGGGAGCGGATTTCTTGGCGGCGGCCGCAATGTTGGCTTGTTGTTGTTTGAGGTTCTTGTTGACTCGGGCTTTGCGCTCGGCTCGCGCAGTCTTTGCGGGATCTTGGTCCGCATCTACCACTTCCGTCAGCTAACCCATTTGAGAGGAGAGAGGGGGGACTTGCCGGCACCAGCCTTGACCTCATGCAACCACTGCTCCTCCTTCTCCCTATTCTTCCCATTCCTCCCCCACCTCGAAACCCACTCCTGCCTCTCCTCATCAAACACCTCCTTCTCCCTATTCTTATGACTAATCCCCTTCGCCTTCGCAAACCTCTCCCACTTGGTCTCCGGCTTGGGCTTGGGCAACGGCTTCTCCCTCGGGAGCAGCGTCGTCGGCAAGGGGAATTTGGTGATGGCGCCGAGGGCGGAGGGGTGGGTGGGGAGGGTGAAGAGGGAGGAGATGAGGGATTGGGTGGAGGTGAGGGTGAGCTCGAGGAGGTGGGGTTCGAGGTCGGTGTAGGCGGCGGGGTCGACGGGGGTAAAGTCGAAGGCGGCGAGGAGGGCGGGGTCGGTCGCCACGGGGTTTGTGCGCGCAAGCACGTTGGTGGAGCTGTCAAGTATGAGCGGGGGCCCTTATCACGCATGAGAGGGGGCTCACTTTTGCTCCTTGTACGCGTCCAATACCTGGGAGACGTCCATGATGAATGCTTGGATGGGGAAGAAGAATGCGAAATCTTGAACGATGGAGGTCAGAATGTGCCAGGCACGGCAGTAATTTTATCGCGGGAGAAAATGGAGAAAATGAGGAGAGAAATAATAGGCTCGGGGGAGAACGGTTGGTGCAGCCAATGGACGGAACGAGACATCATCCTCACCCATCCACCACTCACACAATGTTCGGCGCACTTGTAAACCGTGAGCACAGAACTGCTGGTGGAGGGGGGTTAGCTCACGCAGAACAGGTCCCAACAAGATCCAGGCCAAGCAGGTCGCCTTCCAGGTATGTCCCGCACAATTTCGCCCATTTCCCATCCAGGTATTCGTCAAGCTGGAGGGGTGTATTTCTTGGATAAAGGGTGGCGTAGGAGGGCCGGCTCCTGGAGAGGCTGTATTATGGAAGAGAAAGACGAGAAATGGGAAGAAGGACGCGTGCCCAATGGCCTTTCTTTGAACTCGCGCTCATTTGTCCACAATAGGCCCAGCACGTCCCCGTCTACCTCAGGGGTAACGGCAAGTACTACTATCGTAAGTCCCATCACCTCCCCTTCCCTACCCGCCCCATCCGCTGACATTCCGTCCGCTCTTTCCACTCTCCACCTACGACCCATTCTCATTTCTCACCCTCCACCAATCAACTCTTGTCCATCTCCACTTGTCGACCCTCCATCCAACTCTGCCGTACGCCTTGAAAAAATGGGACAAACGCATACTACAGGTGCCTACCTCGCCCTCCTCGGTGTTTCTCTTGTCGGTTCCACTTTCCAGCTCGTCCAGTACGCCCGAGTACGTTCCCTTCTCTCGCTTCTTCGCTGAACAACGCTGATCATGACCTCTTCTCCCTCCCCTCCTCCCAATCCCATCGCAAACGTAAAACGCAAAACGCAAAACGCAAAATGCAATACAGGGCAAGGCCAACGTCGTCTCCTCATAATTCGCCATTGGAGAATAAAGGGTTTTTCTTTTGGAACGGAGGAATGGCTATGTGTTTGATATAGAGCGTATCATGCATGGTCCTTTCTTTGTTGGCTTACTTTAGGCTTTCATGCGCAGGGTTGAGGTCCGGGGGTGAGAAGATTGCGGGTGATAGCGCGGGTGATAGAGGATATCTGGCTGCAGTGGGGTTGTGTGAGGCATCCAGATGTTGTGATCTTCCTTTCTCAAGGATATGACAAAGGATCACGCCTACAGCCCCTCGTGGTTGATCCGCACATCCGTATACAGTCTTGAAACCCTTATCGAGTCAGAATAGGATATCATCTACCCGCGGTATGCCCTCAAAACTTCCTGCCGACGGCCAGATCATAGCCGCCATCCTAGAAATCATCGACCAAAACCCTTCCCCTCACCCTTCTTTCGCCGCACCTGTAAGCTCCCCTCCCCCTCCCCACCTCCATCTCCTCTCTGTTCCCACTAAGTGAATGAGAACAGGCAATATCAATCTCCCACCTCGCCTCCAACCTCCACACATCCCCCACCTCTCTCGCACCCTCCCCGTCGCATATCGCCGATCTCATCAGACCACTTTCGGAAACATTATTCGACGCTCCCCGCGAACCTGTTGTCCGGAGCGTCAGGAAAGGGTTGTCAAAGGAGGTTTGGATAGTTTTTGATCGTATCAGTAGACCTGGAGATGATAATCGGGGGAGGGCTGTCGATCAGCCGCGTACACCTCGAACTGGACACGCGCCGCTGGCGTCACTACCTCGACCCCCCTCTCGTCCAAGAACTAGGGATGAACCTCTCCCCACGGCCGACGTCAATGTAGAACCCAAAACCCTCCACCTCATCCCCACTCTCCCCGGCGGCTCATCTCACACCCCTCCCTCACCCACTCTGCATAAACAAAACCGACGAGGCGGTACATTCTTCCGTCCCTTCGGTAAATCATCCACCAAAGAAGAGGTACCTCCATCACCACACGTTCCTCTTCTTTTGTCGTCTAGAAAGAGTGGGGGGGTGACGGAGGAAGAGGCTGCCATACGACAGATGGCGAGGGGGGACGGGGGGAAAGCGATCTTTGATCCTATGCGGGATGTGGCCCCGCCGACGCCTGTATCTTACGGCTCTGTCCCCTTTCCTTCCCCAAAGCCGCATCATCTCTCGAACGAATCCACCTTTACTGCTGCCCGTTGGCATGTAGATACATATAGGCAAAGACTAGCCGAGAATACGCCAGGGAACGATGATGGTGATGGTGCAAGCTTCGACATCATAGACGCCTACGCAGACCCCGAGCCGGAACAGCCTCCCCGAACATCCCGAACGTTGAACGACAATGCAGTTACCCAGGCACCATCATCCACATCAAAGAGCTTGAAGGTGGACGTATCAGAGCGTTCCAGAGAATCGATCTTGACACCTGTTCAGGAAGAGACTACAGATGAGGGAGATGGTAGTGATCGTGAGGGCGAGCTGAGTGGGGCGTTTGAGCACGATCGGATTGTAGACGCTTTGGAGGGCGATGCCTCCGAGGACGATGACGATGTCGGCAAAGCTAGTGTTGAGTCTGATGACGAGGCTGAAGCACGCAAATCGACATTGAAATCTAAAGACGATATAGCGGGAAGAGGAACGGGAGAAGATGCTGCCTCGAAGAGACAAAGAAAGAGGGACGAAGGCGCATCGCCCGGAGATGAAATGCCACTCTACGAGGAAGAAGAACGGGATGCAAGCAGTGATGGTGGAGGAGCAGCACAGGTCAACAAAGACAGTCAAGAAGTTCCAGAACGACGCGAAAAACGCAGACACAAACACGAGAAACGACACAAAAGCAAAGACCGGTACGAGCGAAAGAAACATTCAGACAAGAAGGACAAGACTTTGTCAAAGAAGAAACACAAACACCGACATGAATCCGTATTGAAAGAGCCGAAAACTCCATGGCTCGTCCAAACGTTCGAAGGATTACCTTTTGAACCGGCTATACCCACCGTAAGCTGACCTCCTCTTCAAATGCGTTTGGTACATCTGCTGAGTATACTCTGCGCGCTCTTGTTAGTCGACCCTAATCAGCTGGGTACATTCTCACTGGAGGCTTGTTGCGGCAGAGGTGGTAGTGCTATTTGGCGTTGTTTATATCCTGCAAGCGACAGGGATGTAGTGGAAGAAATGAACAACGTACAAGCGCTTGTTGTCTGATACACGTTCTTGTTCGCTCTTCACACGGCAGCCTGGTCGGTCAGAGCCCTCACACTGTCTTATGTGATTATCAACATGCAACACTGCACGGGATAGGCAAAAACCGCCCAGTTTATGCCAGCCCTGAAGTAGAACATGCTTATGACGAAGAAAAAACAACTCGACTCGAGTCGCCCGTCGCCGTCGCGTGCGCTACATCTCCACCCACTGAATCGATATCCCGATATACTCGTACACATATGCTACATGCAAATCATGACAGTCGTTTCTATAGACATCACTCCCCCTACAGCCCGCTCGCATTATCCGGCGCCTCCTCCTTTTTCTTCCTCTGCTGCTCCTTCTCCTCCCTATGCTTCGCCAACGTCCTCGGACTCTCCCTCCTCCCCAGATGCACATACATCATCCTCCTCTGCACCCCCGTCGTCTCCACATCCCCCACCATCCCCTCCCCCGTCAACCCATCATCGCTTCTATCAAAATACAACGCCCACAGATCCTTCTCCTCATCCTCTTGCACCACCACAAACCCTTCCCACCCTTCAAACAACACTCTGTTATCCAGCTCTGTACAGTCCCAAGGACCCGGGGCATGCGATTCAGACTCTTCGACGGAACCGTACCGGAGTTCGTTGGTATTCCTGTTGACGTAGATGCGGGAGGGGGTGTCGGAGGTGGGGGAGGTGGTGGTGGTGAAGCAGTCGCCTTTGTAGCCGACGCGAGCCCAGGGGAGGGCGTATTCGGGACATGGTTGGTAGCGGCATACGACGGGTTGATAGGTGTTGTGATCGAAGTGGGAGTCGGCGTGCTCTACATACAGCTGCCGGGGCTGTCAGCTTGCGTCCGACGAGGCTCGATGTGGCGATGACTCACCTTGCCATTCGACAGAACCACCCTAGCCCCCTCAAATTTTCTCCTATAAGGGTGCCCTCCAGGGAACTTGACATAGAGCTCTAGAGGCAAAGACTTGTTGCCCCCATTGCGATTGCCTTTTGTACCGCCTTCGATGGCGAGTTTTGTAGCGACGATGGCGGGGCAGAGGGCGGTGGCGGTAATGATGTCGAACACCATTGCGATAGTGAGGTGAGGGGTAGCTGGAGCGGATAAGGGTGACTTGACGAGGTCCGCGAATGGAGACGAATAAAGAAGACTCTTTTGACATTGCTTTGACAGCAAAAATCGGCGCGTGACGTCATGATTGTTGACAAAAGAGAACGCGTACGAGTATCAGTACGGTGCAGCGCGTACAAAGCGCGTACTACCGCGCCGATTGAGTCCGACTCAACTTTGGAGTCTTCTATATGCCGCAAGGGCAAACCAATACACCTCAACCTCACCGATTTGGGCAGGCCGAAGTCGGTCAAGAAGCCAGTACAAAAGGCCGGCGCCATCGACAAGTTCCTCCAGCCTATCCCTCCTCGTCCTCGCACGGATGCAGGCCACCAGCGCATGGAGGACAGTGATAAAGAGGAGGACAGTTCTGATCGTATTATTGCCTTGCATGAGGACCAGGACCAAGCATTTGTCCAGTCGTATGAGCGGTTCACCCGCCAAATGTTGCGCAACCGCAACGACGACGAGGAGGATGGGGGAGCGGAGAGTGATGTCGAAGGGGAGACCGTCGTCGCGAAAGGGATGAGTGAGGAGGAGTACGACCAGAAGGTCCTCCGCCCTCAGCTCGCAACTCTAGATGAGATGCAGGACCTCTTGGACACAGGCTATCGGGAAGGCAATCAGAAGGAGGGGACACGGTGGGGTCGTGTGGAGACAGCGGATTCCAAGTGGTCCAAAGCGAACATGGAGAGGCAGAACGTCACCAGTGAGCCTCCCATCTCGCCTCGCCATCTCAGTACAGAGCATGTTAGCTGACTCGTTGATTTCAGGCCACATAGGCATGACATACGCTAAAGCCCACAACCTACAAGAGCCGTCGCCTCGCACAGTCTAGCGCAAGAACAAAGACGCGCGGAAGGACAGGAATGTCCACGTTCCCGGGGGGCTCAGTGCTTTCGTTGGCGCGGCGCCTCCTGCCCCTGTACCCCAGAAGAAGCGAGGAAGGCCCCCTAAGGCTAAAGGACCGAGCGAGGCTGAGCCAGTGCCCAAGAAGAAGCGTGGACGGCCTCGCAAGAATCCCATTCGAGAAGACCCCTCGCTCTCGGTGCCCTCTGCTGCTTCCTCCTCCGCGCTTGGCGTTCCATCCAGCTCTCTCGCCCCCTCGTCTCCATCCCAGCCTGTCTCCACGTCTCCCCACCCCACATCACATGACGTTGCGTCGCCGCTTGACCCCAATCTTGAGCAAGGCAGTGACTCCAAAGAGGGGTTACCAGGCTTCGAGTACGAGGGCAGAGGCTTGGAGTACGTGGTTGGGGATGACTTCGAGGACGATCTTTTCGAAGGCGATGATCTTAATGAGAACCGCGAGGAGGTGCCAGAGAAGAACCCTCGCATCAGGAGGCCTCTAGCCGAGCTTGTCAAGGAAATTGACGAGATCTACGAGCAGCGGGTCATCGCAGACAAGGTCCAGCCGCGCTTGACGTCTGAGCATGTGAGCGACGTCTGACATTCACTGTCTGTGGCGAGCTGACCCTCTCTATTTTCTGTAGAAACAAGCGTACGTTCAGCTCAAGTACATGCCCGGGTTTATGAGGACGTTGAAGATTGGGCGATTGGCTGCAAGCCATCTTGTCGCAGAAGGGAGCATGGAGGGGGACGACAGTAGTGAGTGTCGACATCATCTCCCTAGAGACTCTTCTGTACATAGACTAAAACACTTGCAGGCGTCTGTGAGGCCCGTCGAATCCGCGCCCACCTGGCTGACTACGAGCGCTTGGGCCACCTAGAGTTGGTGCAGGGTTCTTGAGAGCCGACAATTGCATTCTGAAACATCTACTTCTCTTCCTCTATCTTGTTGATCAAAGTCCCCACCCCATGTGATACATGCACCCTAAACTCGTCGCCTTCTTTCAAAGTCACTCGTGGCTGCGAGGCATGTCCGATTCCCGCCGGCGTCCTGTGTACACGCATTAGAGACTGTGCTATGATAGAGGACAAACTTACCCGGTGAGAATGATGGTGCCGGCGGGCAGCGTGGTACCTTGGGAGAGGAAAGAGACGATCTTGGGCACGGAGAATATCAAATCGCTTCAGAGTATCAGCTCTCGCTTGTCATGATACACGAGGATGAACTCACTCGAGACCGCTTTTCTGCACAATCTTCCCATTGAGAATCCCCTCAATACTCAGCTGTCCCACACTACTGATCGAATTTTTGCTGATGATGGCCGGACCTATAGGGCAGGCGGTGTCAAAAGACTTGCTGTAGCACCACTGAGACTGGGCAAATTGGGCTGCTCGGGAAGAAACGTCGTTCGCTGCAGTGTACCTATATCACACTTAGCCACATTAGGGGTTAAGGGGCAGCAGGCTCACCCAAGCACATAGTCCAAAGCATCCTCCTCCCCCACGTTCTTACACGTCCGTCCGATTACAACCACCAGCTCAGCCTCATAATCCGCCGTGTCGTCCTTCAAGAAAGCTTTCGGGAGGATCGTCGTCGCCGGGAAAGGGTTTGAGAGGGCAGTGGAGGGTTTCATAAATAGGGTGGGTGTTTCTGGGATGGCGAAGCCGCATTCTATGGCGTGATTCGTATACTGGATAAGCCGTCAGCAAAGATCTCGGATAAGAGGTCGTGTACTGACATTGAGACCTATACACCTGATCGTCCCCACCTCTTGCTGCGTAAGAGGGCTCAGAATACGGTCCACAACCTCCCTCCTCCCCGTGCTGGTGCCAGGGGACAGCACAGATGCCCCGCTAAACACGTCCACTTCGACAGGTGTCCGATTGTAGGTAGCGAGACCGACATCCAGGGTGGGGTCGACAGGCTGGCCGATGAGCGGTTTGAGGGGCGACGACTTGGGGGAGAACCTGATGAGCCTGGAGAAGGTCGGCATGGCGAGGGCAGGTGGCAGATGAAAGATGGAAATGAAAGAGCGAAGGCCGACGGTCGTTTAGCGGTGTCTAACCTAGCACGAGCTCGGCCCGAGTCGGCGTTCTCCGGTACGGCGAGCCAAACAAATCGCATCTCTCTTGACAGTCAGTCTATACTAGACATCCAACATATATACCCTATTCATGCTCCATCGCCTCCCCCGCACCCTCCCCCTCCTCTCCTCCACCCTCACGACAATCCGAACCATGTCATCCACAGCCCCCTCCTCACCCATCAACCTCGTTTCCGTCAACACCCACCCCGACCGTGCTCAGAGAGTCATCGGCTCTGTCATCCAGAGCGTCAAAGACAAGTATACCATCGTGCATGCAGGCAACAGCACAAGTACGTCATCTGAAATCAGAGCCGAGGCGGTGGACTGATCTGATTAGCTATCGAGGGTGTCAAGCCTCTGCTCGAATCTACCCAGCCTCGTCCTGACATCCTTGTACGCAATAAACTCTCCGATTGTATCCTTCCCATTAACCCTTTTCGCTCTAGTTCTGCGCCTCAATGGTAAGCTCCCTCGTTAAGACTTCTTCGCGACTAAAATTCCCATCTAGTGGACTCCCGAAGAACAAACAGAAATCCAGCAGATCGCCAAAAACACCATCCCCGGTATCAAGACATACGCCATCCCCACCGGCATGCACGTCAAAGCCGGGCCGGAGGGTATCACCAAGTATCTGACGGAAAGGATCGATAGCATCGTCAATGGGAAGTGAATAGCAAGTCATTGGAGGTGATGGTCATTGTAGCTAGTAGAAACAACACCAAAGTCCAGATCATATGCGTATTGCGCGATTAGGAAAGTCTAACCCAGGGCCGAGTACACTCCATACACGTCGAGCGCCAACACGTTGAACGAGCGGTCTACACTCGCCGCCGCAGCCACATATCTTTTCCGGTGGGCTCTTTCGCACACCTACTCTCAGTCCCATCATATGGAGGGGACCAGCGCCCCTACACGCTTCCCATTAGCGCACACCGAACCATACAGCACAACGTCAATGTTTGGCTCGAGAACGTAAACAACGCAACCAGCCAAACTCTCCCACGCCCGACAACATATCTGATCCCGCTCTCCTCACCACCCAAAATTTCCAAATCCTCGCATCTCCTTCAGTTTCTCCTTCATCTCTTTCAACTCTTCTTTCCCTCGCCCCATTTCAAGTTTCTGCTCCAATAGGTAAGTCCCTCTCCCAAAAGCTCTTTTCCTTCTCGTCCCCCCTTCCTACGCTGGATGAACCAAATTAACTCAGCTCACTCCGAAGGGCCGTCCCACGGGATCGGTACCCTACTGAGGCATACATTAATCTTCAACCCCCTGATTCTTTATCTCTCTTCTCCTCTCTTTTTATTTTCGTGATTGATTGAAGGAATGAGAAGCTGACGGATTCTTGAAAAGACTTTTAGGTGTTTGTAAATCATGTCGTGTTGTTTAGTTTGTCATGCAAAAATCTTTCTTCATACATCTACCACGTGCATTGGAAAATAGTCTTGCTGGAGGGTTCTGATTGCGAGACGAGTGGCAGAGTGCTGGCGACGAGCGAACATGTCTTGCAAATCTTCAACGCGCCCAACTTCATCATCGTCCGCAGTCCTCTCGCCTACCTCTGCTATCTCTTCAGACCCTGTAAGAAGCTGATCATGGGACAGGCTGCTGGGTACCGGCGACGTGCAAACATGACCTCGCAAAATCTTCCCTCTTGCGCGCTCAGCTGCATCATCGCCAAACCATCTCATCTCTTCCATATCCCCAAACAACCAGTCAAAAGCGCATTAATCGCATAATCATACTGTGTATAGCAATATCAATATCATATATCAAGGGTATCCAAGAAAAATCCGGGGAATATATAGATAGCCACCGCCATAATCATAGAAGAGAGAAGAAAGTGTGAGGGACGTTGTCAACAAAAAAACAACCAAGAGAATTACAAAAAAAAGGGTTGAGTATCTATTAATGTGAGGATAGGGTAAGTGAAGCTAGGCGATGTAAAGTAGCTATTAGATGATAGAGTACGTATAGAAGAGAAAGGGTGGATATATTCGTCATAAAAAAATCGCCCGACAAGACAAAGACCACTGGCGCCCATCAGCCCCATCCCCCCTTCCTTTCCCCTCTCCCCAAAGAAACTCACCCAAGAAAACGCCGCGGCTCAAATCCCAATCCCCATCAACCTCTCCCTCTCCCTCTGCTGCTGCTGCTGTTGATGCTGCTGATGCTGCTGATGCTGCTGATGTTGTTGCGGCGAGGGGTTATGAAACATGTGCGGATGTTGCTGCAACACATACCCTTGCCCCCCTTGGCCCCCTCCTCCCCCTCCTCCTCCTTGCCCCCCATCTTGCCCCGCTCCATCCCCATGCCCCTGTCCCGGCCCAGAAACAGAAGAAGGCGTAGGCGGAGCCGCAGGCGAAGAAGCATAATAAAACGTCCCCTCCGGCGCCGGCTGATAATAATGCCCCGCCCCCGCGCCCCCCGTCGGCTGGCCCGGATGCGCATGATGATGGTATTCCGCCGGTAGATGGAACTGCCCCGTCGTCAACGGCGATTGCTGAACCGCCCCCGCGCCCGGGTTGGGCATCATCCTCGGTTGGGGCGTACTCTGTTGTGAATGAGAAGACGAGGCGGGTGGGGGACGGTGGATGTCGGGTATAGGCGGCACGGGCGGCATCTCTGAAGGGAGTGGAAGCGAAAGGTCGGGTTTCGATTCTCCTCCAACTGAAGACGCTGTACGGCGTTTGGAGGGCATCCGTTTCTTGGGCCGGGAGCTGGGGGACCCTTGGCCGACGCCGAGGGCCGAGACGGCGTCGAGCTGTTGTTGCGCGTGCGCCTGAGCCTGGTTCTGAGGCGGGAGGTGGGAATGGGATGAACTCGGCATGTCATTGGGGAGACCACTCGCGGCATGGGCAGAAGCCGCCATAGCTGCTGTAGCCTGGGGCGTGAGTTTGTGCGGCCGGATGGCGAGGCCACCGTTTTTCGCTTTTGTAGCTGGTACAGGCCCGGCGTCGGCTGGTTCGCCGTCTGGTCCGAATCCTTCTGGCGCATTCAAACAAGCCTACATCCTCATCAGCCCCCCTTCCAGTAAAGAACGCGAAGAGAGAGAAAGGACTTGCCTGGATCAAAGACTTTCCCTCCTGCTTCTGCACCAACGGCTGCAGTTTACTCGTCGTAAAAGTATAAACCAACCCCGTCTCACTGACCACCAACAACAACACCTGCGTCCCTGTCAGAATCGACAGCTCATACGCCTTCTTCATGATCCCCGCTTTACGCTTGGAGAAGGTGATGTGGCGCCGGGATTTGTCCGAGATGTATTCGATTTTGATCTTGCGCCGCTGGGTGTCTTTTTCGGTTTCGAAAGCGGAGCCTTTGTCGCCTTTGCGGCGTTTGGTGCTGGTAGAGTCTTCGTCTGGACAAGTATCAGCTTTCGTCACGCGAAAGAGAGGAGAGAAGGACGCACCGTCGTCGTCATCTTCATCCAACCCCGTCTCCGTCTGAAACATACTATCCAACCCCGCACTCCCCTGACTCGCCCCACTCGCGCTCCCCGGCCTGCCCTCCCCTCCAACACGCCCACTCGCACTCCTCTCTTCCCGCCCGGTAGTACGAGGAGTAGCGCGCGCCTGGGTTTGAGCCTGGCCGTAGTTGCTACCGTCGTTCGCTGAAGCTGACGTTGCAGAGGTAGGTGGGTGGGGGGTGGAGCCTGTTAGTTCGTGGTGCGAGATCGTTTCGTCGAGGTCATCATGCCCTGCCGCTTCTGTCAGTACGCCCTTCCCGCTTCCGCAAACACCAAACACCAAACACCAAACACCAAACACTCCCCCCGCCCAAACATCATGCCCAGGACTTACTAGTAAACTCGCGCATATCCACCCCCATCCCCTCTCCCCCGAAATCATGCACCATATCCATATTCAACTGATGTTCCTCCCCTCCATCATCCGCCAGATAATCTTCCATCGTGATGGATACTGTCCTCGGGCTATGACTGTGGGCATGGGGGTGGGCGTGGGGGTTGAGGTGGGATAGTTGGGAGATGGACGATGGTTGGGGGGAGTAGGGAGAGTGGGTGTTCATCTTGCTTGAGGTTGTTTGGGAAAAGAGTCCCGGGAAAGCCAAGATGCGGGAAGGGTGTTGATGTCTATCCCAACCGTCAGCGCCATCATCCCCTTCCTCTTCCCCGCCCCGAGCATGACCGCATGCCAATCCACTTCTACTCTCCTCGCACGAGCCTGGGACAGATTTAGAGGTGAAAGGACAGTCGCGTATGGTTATTGCCCCTTCTGGCTAACCTTCCTAATTGGGATTGATTTCGTGGAGGTGCGGGGGGGCGGGGTGTGCCTTCGGGGGGCGGGTGCGTCTGGATATAGTTCTGCGGCCGGGGACTCACTGTGCTGCTGGGATACGCTTGAGGGGTGGATGGATGCACTGTAATAGATGTAATGTACAGAGGAGCGGTTGTTTACGCCGCACCTGCCCGATCCGGAAATATCCCATTCGCCGCCCCCCGTGGCATTCCTAATCCGCCTAATCACATTACAATTTACTACACTTTATTACAATCCCTCCCCTAATGCGCGCCTCCACCTCTCCCTCTTGAAATTTCAATCCTTCGCTCTTCCTATTCCCCACCCGCGATGGCGTCCCCCGACTTCGCCGCCGAGCTCGAAAAGGTCCGCCGCCTCGCCCACTCCCAGCTGCCCCACCAGGCAAAGCCCGCCACCCTCCTCCAGGCCATCGAGCACGCCCTCGCCGCCACCCTCGGCACGCCCCTCCCCCACACCCCCACCGCCTACTTTGCCTCTCTCCTCCAATGTCTCCAGAAGGCGTGCAACGATGAAGTGGGAGAAGACGAGGACATGGCAGAGAGCGAGAACATGGGCCAGGGCGCGCTCATCCCCGCCACCCTCTACCTCCTCGCCATCGTCGTTCCCGAGACCCCCAACCAGGTCGTCCTCTCCAGCCTCTCCCCCCTCCTCGAGTGTATCCTCCCGCTCTACGACGGTGCCCTCGAGCACCCTCCCGCCTTGAGGTCCTTGCTCCAGATCACCACCTCGCTCATCCTCATCTCGCCCGTCCAGCTCTTAACGTCCTCGCCGCTCTTGAAGAAGGCTTGGAACTATCTGCTCGAGCTCAACCTCGACCCCCGGCCCAAGGTCCGCCACCAAGCGCAGGAAGGTGTGCGCAAGGTACTCGTCACGCCTATCCCTCCCCGACAAACGCCCGGGAACCACCCTTACCTCCCTCGAGCGAGAGAATGGGTGATGGGTGTACTCGAAGAAGAAGTCAAGAGCGGTGGAGGTAAGGGTAAGAAGGCCAGGTTTACCGATGCGCAGGAAGGCGATGGCAAGCGGGGTATCCAGCTCGTACAGGGTTTAAGAAATTGGGTCGCCGTCTGGGGCGAAGACGTAAGTCCATCTTGTATTCTTTATCGTTCAACGCTGACGCCATCCAGCACCTCTCTTCCCTCGRYCKGSSRT